TTTGCCTAAGTAATGAAAGATGAAATTCAAACAGTAAAAGGGGGTTCAATACAAGCTTGCATGCAGGCGGTTACGCTTCCTGAGCAATTAATTGTCATGCACGTCTTTTGTCGTGGGTGATATATTCAGTGCAGAAATCCACTAATATTCCCAAGTATTGGTCATATTAGTACGGGGGGTAATGTTGGTTATATATTTTGTATATGCCAATCGTAGCTTAACACGTGGCTCGTAAAGGGTAATTTGGAGAGTTAATGCAAATCTCTAGTCAACGACATATACGTGGCAGTTTACATTGGTAACAATGGATCTGCGCAGCATTAGAGTAGTTAGGAAACGCAAGGTGACGTGGCCCAACGTTTACTCACAATTCAAATTCAAATTCAGGAGGGAAGTCCAACTGCAAGAATGGCATAGTGGAAACAAACTGTTTAAGGCCATGACTAGTGATCGTGAAAGGGCATTTCGACAGTTAGAAGACCACTTCGACGGTAACTATTAGAGGGTATAAATAGAAGAGAAGACTAACAGAAATGAAGGGGACTTAGATCTAGAAACCAGTTATTTACTTTATATTTTTCTTTCTAGTTTTTACATTTCCAGTTCTTTAATTTCTATACTGCACTTCAATTCTTAGGAGTAGTTCCAAGTAGTTTGTTGTTGTAAAATCCTTCGAGACTGTGGAAGTGCGAGGATATCATTGTAAGTTCTTATTATTTAATGAAATTCAGTTCCTAAACTGTTTTTTTATCTATTGTTATTGTCAATATCTTTAATTTTTTCCTAAGCAAAGTCATCTGTAAAAGTCATCTTCATTGAGGCTGAAAGAATTTCAACACAATCGTCTGATAATTGGTTGACAATTAAAATTTCTGTAAGGACTTATTGATTTTTGCTGATAGGCTTAAAATTACATTATTAACCTTTGAAAAAAAAAAAAAAAAAAGCCAACACTTACGGTGTTGTTTAATAAAATTGAAAATTAAGTATTAAAATTGTAGGCTAAACTTTTTAATTTGAAAGTTGTTTGATATTTACTAAAATTTAAGTTCTAAATTTAATCAAGTTATTTAATACATAAAAAAGGCTTAACTTGGAAATTTATTAAATTTTCATTTTTTTCTGTTACACCCTTTATATTATCGATGGTGACCTAGTAGTTATAATGTGGTGGTGGTGGTGGTGGTGGTAGTGACCGTTGCCGTGGCCGTGGCCGTGATAGTAATAGAGTACAAGTGGTGACGGTAGTAACAATGGTTGTGTGGTAGTGGTGAGATAGTGGTGGTGGTTGTGTGGCAGGAGTGATGGTGGTGGTGACAACAACCGTAGTGGCGCCAATGGTGGTGGGATTGGGTGGGAGTGCAGTACTAGTGGTGGTGATGGTTGCGGTACTGAGGGCATACATTGATGATTATGCATAAACAATTATAAATTTAGTTGGTATTAAGTAAAAAATTTATTACTTCACATTTTTTTTTACTTTGAACTTACATTTTATTAACTTCTTAATTTTGTAAGTAATATTAATTATTGTTATCACACGAATTTAATAGATTAGCTTCTCATATGAACGTCCAGTTTGAGCTCCTGATACATGCCACGTTGGTACTTTTTACAAACCAATGGTTTAGATTTTGCACACTTATTTACAAATCTAATAGTAGATCCCAAAAAATAAACAATAAATAATTATATCTGATATTTAATGGGTTAATGTGAAGATATAAAATCTTAAATCATTAATTTACAACCAAAAAAAAAAAAAAACAATATAGCATATATCTGTAGTTGAACTGTTATCTCCCATTCAAAGCCAAACTAGGAACATTCAAAGCCAAACTAGGGACACGCGATTCTCTCAGTTAATATATTTAGATTTAGAGGGTGTTTGAGATGATTTAAATAAATATATTATTTAATTTTTCTAACGGTGGCTGGGGGTGCTCACAGATCATTTTTCTGTTAGATAATGTCTCAATGGGACTACATAATTAAATGTGGTGTTATCATTTATAAGAAGCTTACAATTTAAGTGATTCAATTTAGTTAATAGGCTTAAGGGTATATGTGTTATGGCCCTAATGTGTAGATACTAGTTGTATAATTTCTATTTCTATGAGGGGCAGAAATAGAAATTAAAACATATTGGTTAAAGTTGGTTTTCATTCCTTTTGAACTTTCACAACCTTTCAGTTTTGAAAACCAATAAATAGAAATTAAAACCAATAATGGTTAAAGTTGGTTTTCATTCCTTTTGAACTTCCACAACCTTTCAGTTTTGAAAACCAATTACAACCTTTAAAAGGTTATGGTCCCTATTCCTTACCAGGTGAAAATAAGAACACTGCCATTTTTTTCTAAATCCTCTCAAGGAGAAACATAAGGCACCAAAGGAGAAAGGATTATAAGGCAATAACATAATCAATAACAAAGAGTTCATTGATAATCACGCTTCCGTTTAACCGTTCATCAATGGATTCAGGTATGTCATTTTGTCTTGATTTCTTGATAATACACATGGTAAATGATACAAAGTGTAAAGTTTATGTTCTGAAATTTATATTGACAGATACTGAATAGTGCCTTAATTTACCAAATAGTGGCTTAATGCTAGATTAAGTTATAAAAAGTATCAAAAGGAACATCTAATGATTAAAAAGAAAACATAAAAGCCAAAAAGAAATAGCGATTGAGAGAGGGCTATGATTTGTACCAAAGGTTATGGAGGAAAGAAGACTATCACGCATAGCAAACATAAAATCCTTAATGTTATATTTTTACTTAATTTGTGCGTATCAGGGGTAGTTTATTTGATGGGCATATTATTAATATTTTATAATTTATGATAGGTTAATTTTTTTTTAAAAATGTTATATGATTTTTTTTGTGAACATATTATATAATACCATGGTTTCAAATCAAATTCAACCATGTTTAAATAGTTTGGTTCATATTGATTCCATGATTTTAATTGTTTGGTTTGGTTTCAATTTTTATAGAACCGTAGACAATGAATTAGTCATGGTTTCATCCCAAACCGATTCAAACTAAACCATACTCACCTCAAAATATAATGAAAAAGTTATGATTATCAGATCGAATTAATTTTTTTTACTTGATATGCATATAGTGTCTTACAAAATGAACAATTCGAATTATCAAAATGCAATCTGTAATGAGCCTCACATACCCTTAAATTCTTTCAAATTCAAATTTAATCTTGAGAAAAGTACACTCACATCCAAAGAAACAAAATATAGTATATTTCTTTAACCAAACCAGACACTTGATTACAAATAATTTTGAGTCACCACATTTGATGTTGTCGTTTTGTTGATTTTTTCTACTTTCGAAGGTTAAAAATGTAATTTGAGCTTATCAATAAGGATCAATAAGTTCTTAGAGAAATAATAAATGCCAACCAATTAATCAGACAATTGCTTCGAAATTCTTTTAATCTCAATAAAGAGGATTTTTACTAGTGACTTATTTTTAGGAGAAAATTTAGAAGAACTAATCTCAATAGTAAAAGAAGGAGGGAGAGAACAGTGTCAAAAAATAAATTTCATTAAGTAAACAAGCGTTTACAATTGTACCTTCGCACTTTCATAACTCCGAAAGGGGATTACAGCAATAAACAGACTAACTTAGAACTACTCTTAAGAAATTGAAATTCAGTGCAGAAAAGTAATGGACTAGAAGGTAAAGAACTGGAAAGTAAATAATCGGAAAGTAAAGAACCGGAAAATGTAAGGTAAAATAGACTGATTTTTTGGATCTGGTTCTGGGTCCTCTCACTCCTCTATTTATATGCTCTGTTGACAACCATTGAAGTAACTGGAAACTGTGGAAGTAACCTCCACAAACATCAAATATGGCTCCAAACAGTTTGCCTCCACTAAGTCACTTCTTGCAGTTGGGTTTCCCTCCTGAATTTGAATTTAAACATCCAAGAACTATTTAGCCACATCACCTTGCTTCTTTGGATTGTTTCAGTACTTCGTAGACCCTTTACTATTGATATAACTTGTCACATGTCCTTCGATGATTGGAATTCCTTGCTAATTCTCCAAATTACCCTTGATGGATCATGTGTTAGGTTGTGATTGGTTAATACAAAATATATGGCCAACACCTTTATACAACTAATATGTCCATCTTATTTTAATTTGGAATATCTCAAAAGGTTAGTCTTATTTAAAAAAATCAAAGAAAAATTTGTTTAATTTTTAAAGCTCTCTCTCATAAAGTGGTTATAAATATGCTAAAAGCTAAAAAACAAAAAGACATTCTTGAAATAAATATTTTAAAGTTTGAATTTAAATATAATAATTGTTTGTCACCTAAAACAGTTAGACTTACCAATAAAAAAATCCATTAAGAAAATGGGACGAATGGAGTACTAATTATATTATTGAATTTTTTTTTTTTTTCAAAAAAAAAAGAAAAAAAGAGCACCGACTAATAATATTATTATGTGAGACTGATGTAACATATGTGACCTAATAGATTTTGCATGTTTGTTTGGAAAGTAATTTTTTTTGACTAAAATATGAAACATATAAAATAAAAAAAATTAAATTGATGACTTTTTGACTTTCTACTAAAAAAAACATACAAAAAGTAAATAGAATAAAAAACAATATTTAATATTTTGACCTGACTTTTTAACTTCTTTTTTTTTTAAATAATTTTTCAACTACATTATCTATTGCCAAAGGAAACTACAATAACTAAATATAATCACCTTACCAAAAAAAAAATGAAGAAGGGACAGATGTAATGAGATTATAAAAAGTTCAAGAAATTAGAGCAAAAAGGACACAACAAACACGGCGCATATAACGCATACCCAATTTTTTTTCGTGATGAGCAGTTTAAAATGCATGTGAATCAAATCATATCAAATTGACTTTTATGTTCATTGGGCCCTCCCAAATTCCCGCCTCTAACTTCGCATCACATTTCATCCCCTATAAATACCTCTTCAAATTCCATTCTCATTCACTCATTGTGTGCTTTGTCAATTAATTATTAGATCTAGCTCTTATTAAGACAACTTAACTTACTGATCAGTGAGTATATTTATTCACACAAAGAGAGAGAGACAGAGAGAGAGAGAGAGAGAGAGAGATGGCAAGACATCAGTACAACACTCTCTTCATGCTTGTTTCGCTGCTTCTTCTTTTGATTACATTCTCCAATGTGGCTGAGGTAATAATATTTTAATTGTACAAATTCAAATCCTATATAAAAGAAAAGCTCTTCTTATTTCGTGTAGTATACATGGTCTGACTGATCTTTTTTCTTTGTTGTTTTTATTGTTCCAACAGGGCTATAATAGACTCCGTCCAGCAGGTACATTCATTTCGGACCTATGCGATGTGTATGCATATTAATACATCTGTTCTTTACGCTATCTTTTCGGTCCTCGTTTCCTCCGATCCAAGATCTGAACTAAAAAGTGTTATCAGAGTTTGTGAGATCTACCACAAGTCTCATTTGATAATCTAAATTACTTATTTTATAAGATCCCTCGTGTCTGTCATTTACATACAAAATTAGGTTAATTCAATAATTTCAATCTATTACATTTATGGTATGTTTGGTTGGAAAATTTGATGAGATTTATAACATTTTCCTTACATTTATGTAAAATAAAAAATAAAAGATGTCAAGTGAAAATTGGAACCAATTTAATGTAAGTGAAAAACTTTCATTAGATTCAAAATTACAAAACTATTCCTTAACAATTTTGGAATTTAAAAATAAATTACACAATTTTCATTTTGATTCTCACAACAAAGTGATTTGTTGACTTGAACCCCACTGAATTGTTATGAAAATTGTAATACTCGGATCCTAATTATAATAAAGGATGTAATGCAATTGATAAATCAAGTTCAATTAATGACAAAAATGGAGGTTAAGTTTTCATGCCTAAAGTATTATATAAACTGCACAGATTGCAAGCCAAGATGCACATACAGGTGCTCGGCGACATCGCACAAGAAGCCGTGCATGTTCTTCTGCCTCAAGTGCTGCTCCAAATGCCTGTGTGTGCCGCCGGGGACTTATGGCAACAAACAAACATGCCCTTGCTACAACAACTGGAAGACCAAACAAGGCGGTCCCAAATGCCCTTAAATATCTGTATTTACTCTAGATTTATTATTATTATTATTATTTTAATTTTTTAGCCTATGTCAGTCTCTCTATATGTTTCTTCTTGTTACTTAGATCAAAAATTTTAATTTCGTTAGTATGAATTTTGGCCATGGGCATTTTGGCTTAATGGTAGCAATTTCATTTCTGCCAAGGTTGTATTCACTTTTGCTTTCATTCAAAATTATAGTATTGAAAATCTTGCAAGTTTCCTATGGAATGTTTTGGTATATATGTTTTTCTTAAATGCAAATTTATTCAATGTAGTATTTTCCATAAACACTGCACAAATTAATAATGACTTTGAATAAATTATTGAAGGATATGTAGTGAGACCAAAGTAAATTGCAAGGGAAAAAAATTTGAAGCGTTTTTTTTAAAGATAGTTTTAACTAAAAGTTATGACCACTCGTATATTATTTACAATAAAAATAAATTTATTGAAGTCTTTTTCATGTGAGCAATGTTATACATAATTTTATTTTTCATATTTTTTTTTTTTTTTTCCATTCTTAGACATAGGGTTCACATTCATAAATGTATATGGGACCTACTCACTTATATCTTAGAGTAAAAAAAACATATAATAAGATATAAGATTATATATAGCATTTTACATAGAATGTGAGAAAGATTGATTGGCCAAATTTAAAAATTGAAAATTTTTTGAGACCCTAATAAAATTTCTCATAATTTTATCCACAATGATATAAAATGATGGGCGTTAACTTTTAATTTGTTTTGTGATGAAGCTCCATTTATCATTTACTAAAGCAACCATAATAGTTGATAATTAATGTGCAACCATAATAGTTGATAATTAATGTGGGCTTCACCCCATTTATTGCTTAGCAAGTTAGAAAACTGGCCCTATATTAGGTTTGGCTTCATTTAAATTGATTATTTCAATTTGAGAGAGTATTGGATTTAATAAGTTTATTTTGAGACCGATTTCGCCATTCACTTTATAGAATTTGTTAAGTAGAATATTCATGTAAAAAATCAAGATGATCGAATATCAATAGTTATATATTTGGATCGAATTTGTATTATAAAAAATGAATGACTATTTTTAAAATTATATTTTTTATCTATTTTTGTAAAACAAATATGATTCAAACATATAATTATCGATGTCCAATCAACTTTATTTTTTGTATGAATATTCTATTAAACGAATCCTAAAAAGTGAACGATTTGAATAACCGAAATCGAACTCAAAATTGGGTCTACCATGTCTAAGCGCTCATACTGAGATGACAATTTAAGAGAAGTCAAATCTATATTTTTACACACAAAATTTGTTACAACCATCACATTTTAAAATGGACTAGAGTCTTAAATATGTATTTATTAATTAGCACTTACAGATCAATAGAAAAAATTTAGGACTAATTGGAGTACTTATTTGTGAGATGGGAATTATTGGTAAATATCCCTAAATTATTTCCATTATATAACTATAATTATTTAATAATTCTAAAATAGTTATGTAATTTATTATTATTTTAAATTAGGAAAAAAATATTACAATTATTGATGGGATTTTTTTCACAATTATTGAATGATATAATGGAAATTTGCCATTGAAGAGAATCTCAATCTGAAAAGTTGGTGACCAAAGCATTACTCTTTTATTTAATTACGATTGTGTCAAGTAGCATCACAAATATTTTCTTTCCTTTGAGAGACAAAAATTGTTCCATAGCATAACTCTAATGATATGTTTGGATCTTATATTTACTACAAGAAAATATGGGGAAAATAATAAATAAATAAATAAGGAGAAAAGATAAATTACACTAACTTCTAAGATTTGGAAAAAAAAAATAAAGTAAGCCCTACAAAATTAGCATAATTATACTGATTTTTTTTATTGAGAAAAAATATGTGAAATTTTTTAAAATAAAATGTGAATATCATTGCTTCCAGTTATATTGGCGCATTCCTCGAGACTTCTCCCTCTCGTTTTAAAAAACTCTCTCTATAAAAAACCTCTTTCTCGGGCCTCACCGCTGGCCAGCCGGCCGCCGCCGCCTTTGGCCATGGCGGTTGGCTGGCCTAGCTTCTCTTCTTGTGTTTGATGCTCTTTTCTTCTAATAATCTTGAGCCCCCATTTGTTTTCTGTTTTTCTCCTTTTCAGATCTAATCTCTAGATTTGATTAGGATGCTATTGTTTAGGAAGTTTGTTTTTCACAGTGTTGATAGGTGGTTTTGGTGGGTTCTTTCTTCGAATGAAGAGGTTCGGTGGTAGTGGTGTTTCAGCCATGGGTTCCGGTGTAGAGTGGTTGCGTTGACCATGGGTGGGTTGGTTCTGGAACTTCATTCGGGCACTTCTCTGCGAGCGGGAGTTTGAGGGGTGGAGGATCCAGAGTTTAAGATCTTCATTCGAGCGCTCCGTGTGTGTGGGAGTTTGAGGGGTGATTTTCGTTTCAACTCTATGGTGGTCGGAGTTTGTGGTCAGGAAAGAGGGGAATGGAGCCGGGTCTACAAAGAGGATCAACCGATGGAGGTGTTTGGGAGAGGAAAACCGTGGGAAAAGTGGAAAACTGGGTTTTCAGGGCTGAAGAAAAACCACAGGAGGCAGCAGCAGCAAAAGAGGAGGCACCTGTAGCAGTCCCGGAGTTGCAGTAGCATGGGCGTGGTGTAGCACCAGGTGGGCATGAGTGTGGAGATGGCAGTGGGTCCTTGGGTGTGGGTTTTGGAAGTTGCAGCAGCATAGGCGTGGTGTAGCAGCAGGTGGGCATGAGTGTGGAGATGGCAGTGGGTCCTTGAGTGTGTTCGGATGCATTGACTGCCCGGAGTTTGAATCAGAAAGGATGGGTGGTCGGTGGCTGTGTACAGATGGGTGGTTGGTCGGTAGCTGTGTTCAAATGGGTGGAGTGTGACCTTGGGTGTGTTCAGTAGGTGTAGCCTTGGCTGTGTTCAGGCCAGGCGTGGGGCTCAAGAGTGTTGCAGTGGTTGAGTCTGAAGTGAGGGGCTCTTGAGTGATACAGTGTTTGGGGGTGTACTGGGGAGTGTTTCAATGTTTTTTTTCTTTTTCTCTTGTTTAGGTGGGGGCTTAAGAATATAGTTTATTTTATTTTATTATTGCATTTTAAAATATAAAATCGTGAGGCTAGGGGTTGGTTGTAAGATCGCGAGTAGCAGTAGTAGGAGAGTGAGGTTTACTCTTCGAATCTCTCTCATTGCGTTTTATTTCCTTGTACTTGTAAATTTCATGTTTTTAATGAAATTTTTCTTTGCCGATCAAAAAAAAAAAATATTGGCGCATTCCTCAGCAAGCACTTCTGTCTCTTGAATCAGCTGAGGTGGTAGCATTTCGAGCTCGTTTAGGAACTCGGATATTTTAATTAACTTTTTGACTATTTTAACTTGTAAAACTCATTGAACTGATTATTTTTATCGAAAATTAAGTTGATATGATATCAAAAGTTATTTGATTAGATTATATTTGTTTGAAAATTAATTAAAGGACCATATGATTTTGAAAATAGTTTGTCTATTTTTTTCCAAATAAATGTGTTTCGATTAATTTAATTTTTAGCATGAATAAGCCGCTTCAAAACCTTTACAAAATAAATAATTAAATAATCAAGATGCGAACAATGGTGGGCCCTATATAGCAAATTGGACGGTCTAGTTGCTTCCCCTTCTTGGGGAGAACTTGGCCATTTTTGTTATGAAAAATAATATGTATGCCTAATTTTCTATCTATTAATTTGCATAAGAGAAATGTTAGGGATTATGAAAAAATTTTCATGAAAATGTTCATGAAAAATTTGTGACCCTTACATTATCTTGATTACTGTGTGGTGTTTTATTGTAAGTGTAATCCAAAAGTCACAAATCTTTCATGATCATTTTCATGAAAGATTTTTCATGATACCTAGTATTGCTGTTTACATATTACACACGGTGTGTAAACTAGTAGATAGTAAACCAGGTTCCTCTAACATTCGCCTTTTGTTATTGGGAAAGTTTAGGTGGGATTTAAATTTTTTTTATTTTATCTACTTTCTTTCTTTTTTCTTCAATTTTTTGTTTTTACTTTTATATCCTTCTAAATTAGAAAGACCAACAAAGTTTTTTTAAAATATCAAAAAACAATTTTTTTTTTTAAGTACGAAATACAAAAAGATAAAATTGAATAACAAATGCGCCTATCATTTTTTATACTTTGATTCTCTTCATTACATGTATGTCATGTAAAATTTCCATTGCACACCTTGTGTGTTTCTAACACAGAATGGATCCTGTTCACATGTATGTATTTTTTTGAGGTTCATGCTAAAATAATGGGTCTTGCATTTGTAATAAGTGCAGTTAACTTTATTGAAATGGGTTAAAGAACTCAAAAATTATTATTTATTTTTATAATTTTTAATACTAATTATAATATTTACATAACTTTTTTAATGGCTATTTTAACCTTAACTATTTGTTACAAGATTAATACATATATATTACTTTGTGATTCTTTTTTTTTTTTTTACACTTCAATGAAATCAATGTTTGATTTATTTTATTTTATTTTTAGAACACAGATATGTAATGTGTTTTAAATTATAACTCATGCTAGGCATAATATTAAAATAGAAATATTTCAACTAATAATTATTTTTTCTAAAAAATAAGTCAACATAATTGATTCATCATTAAAAAACAAGGACAAAAATAAAATGATTCATCATTTTTCATCCAAAATTAATAAGCATGTCCTTTTAAAATTAGATGAAGAGTCAAGTTATAAGGTGGAGTTCATTTTTTATTTTCATTTTATTAGATTAAATGGAAAGTCAAGTTAAGTTATTTTAGTCATTTACAATATTATTGACTTGTTTTAATGACATCATTTGTAACATTCAATGTTATTACTAAAATTTTATTCAACAATGATAGGGATACTTACGTACTAACAATCTTACTAGCACACTCATAAGTCTTGATAAAATTAACCATCACTTGGTATGAAATTTACATCAACTTGTGAGTGTGTTAGTAAGATTGTTAGTAAGATTATTAGTATCCCTACTATTTTTCAATTTTATTAGTAAGACTCATTAAATAATAACATTAATTATCATTTATTGCATCTTATCAAGTGTCCCTCCGCATTTGTCAACATTAGTCTTTCTTTTTTTTTTCTTTTCTTTTCTTTTTTTTTTTGTAATAAGCTAAAATCAAACAAAGTCGCCACTCGTTTGGCAAGTTG